GTTATATCATCACAGAATTTAAAATACATTGTATAATAGTAAATTATGAATTAAATTCTTCTGATATTTTCATCATTGGTGATAAAACAGTAGCACAAATCATTGTGACAGCTTCCTCCGTCAAATTCGTTCATTTCACATGTACCCCGGCAGTTATATGGGTACGGGTTCTCCTCGTGACAGATTAAATTACCTGCGTAAAAATATATGGAGCTTTAAAAAGGACAATTTCGTCGTCAGTGTCTATGCTTGACCACAGTCAATTTACTAGGAGAGTGACTGTGGCTTGACGGTTAAAATGCATACTGTATTTCGCATATATACAGCCATACAATACGAAATGATATGAAATACGAAATGATAGGGCTAAATGAGTTTGTGACAATAGTGGGCAAAAATGAAAAAACGCACATTCTCTGCGCAATGCAAAACAATGAAATGCGAATACAAATTTCTGTCACGTCGGTGTGAAACAAAAATTTGCAGACTCCGTCCCCTATTCATGGTGTTCCGTAAAACATTAACAGTCCCACCCCAAGTATAAGCAACCCAAATAAACTGACAAACTTCAATATTACAAACTGAGAAAATATGCTGACAAACAAAATTTGTATTGTCGTTGTGATCCATTTACATCACAGAGGGCATATTACAGGACCGGTCTATTATTATAAAAATGTAAACAAATGACGTCATTATGATATACAAAACAACATGAAAACAAAACAACATTATACATTCAGTAAATCTAGAAAACTGCCTCTACAAATTCCGTTCCCGAGACATGAGAACCACTGAATAAGAACCGTATTGTTGAGTAAAAATACTCACCGTGTTCCACGTCATCCAACGGAAACCAACGCTCTTCTTGGCTCGTTCTATAAGAAAAACTTACAACAACGACGTAAACCAGCAATATAGTTGTGATCATGTACGCCTTAGGTTCCCCAGTTAGTCTGACCATCTGTAAAATATATATAACAAATGACACAGCAGTTTATAGTTAGACAGCATTTTAATAGAATGTACCAAGTTTTTCGTTTTCTTGGTGTTTTATGAGTATCAGTAACGAAATCGATAGTTGTGTTTATGTGAGATTCAATATAATACAAAAACATACGTACACTTAAAGTGAGAATGCAAGAATATGCGAACAAGTTCCAGACAATCTTATAGTCCTTTGTTTTTTTGTTCATCATCTCAGATCATCCGCTATATCATCACTGATTGGTCAAATTTATCACGTGACTGTCTTGCACGCAATTATGCAATGACACCTAACAATGTCACGCTCACCTTTAATGTATAATTTATCCTTGCAATCAGATATTCAATTCATCTATAAATATCCGATTTCATATGCGAATATTAGCAAACATATAAAATTCATGTTTTCACCGGAAATATATATATTAATTATTGATTTGTCATACTCGTCTATAAATAATAAACGTGACCATACAAAGGCGAGAATATGTTGAATGTATATTTGAAACAAATATAATAAATTTAGATGTAAATATATTGAACTTCTTGTACAGGTTTCAGTTAAATTTAGCTTTATCTACTAAACGTGTGGTCTGTAATTGCTATTGATTTCTATTGGGAACTCGCAGATCTGAAAAAGTATATATACTTGGAAAGGTGTGAAAAAACATTCTTTTTGAACATTATGCATAATGACTTATATATGCTTAGCTGTACATATTCAACGATAAATATAATTTGGATGTAAAAGTGAGGTTGGAATCTCTATGTAATTTTTATAAACAAATTCTAAAAAAGGGAGTTATATAATCATTTTAATATAAGTGTTCAATGGATGAATTATTCATTTCCAAAAAGCTACATCAATGACTTAAATGCAGTATATGGTACACTACGCTACGCCCACCACACACTCTATATGAAACTCATGATGACCATGGATTGGGTTGGCTTGATTTGAGACACGTACGTTACTGTTAGGCAGTCTGTGTACAATAACGCCCGACTGTAACGCACGTGAACGTGTGATTGCATCGAATCTAAGATATTGCATTCTGCATATTAATAGTATATGTTGTGTAAAAAGAAACATATATCTCTCAGATATTGAATTATTGATTTGTTCTTTTGTGCTAGCCATTGGCGTGGGGATGTAGTTTCAATATATAACGCGTACATTTATCAGAAACAGAATTCAGCTTGAAGTAATATGATACATTTGAATTAATATTTTAGACACAATTAAACTTTTATTTCAAATCTAGAACCCTTCTAATAATGTAAAATTTAGAACAAAAGTTCTAACAAAATGTATTAAAAGAATTTGCTGGTTTATTTGATGAATAATCGAAAATGTATGTAATATCCGTGCCAAATAGTGGATACACTGTAAAACAACTTGTCAAGGCCAAACTTCACACGCAGGTTTAATTTAAATAAAATATTATTTTAGTTATAATTACGGATTTAATTAGGTGGTAATGAGAACCATGGTAATTATCTCTTTTTTAAAGTCGTTTTCGTATTAATTACGGCGAATTGTTCACAGCGACAAAGGAACATATGCATAATCGGTTTAGAGATTTATTACCTCACTTACATCGTGACGACATTAATATTACTAAAATATTACTATAATATCTAAACAAAATCTACGCAGTATTGCGCATACTCACAATGCGATACGTGTATATACGTATATCTTTGATCGTTGTATTTCATTTTTTACAATGCGTTGCTGATTTATGAGTAGGAAGTAGAACTACATTGTATTCGCCAATTTCTCGAACACGTCAATTTATTCACATAATTAGAAGGAAATGGCCGCCGATATCTCGTTGAGATCACGGGAGCCGCGAGATTTGTATTGCCGCTCAAATAATGCTCTATTTTGATAGACAAAAACACGTCTCGCTGCTCAAAATTATATATTACATATTTGACAACTATACGCAAAAAAACTGAATAATACAAAGAATTTAAAATTTTAGAGAATTCCGAGAAATGTTTGCTTTATTCGTTTTAACGACATTGGCGTCAAAACATCTACCGTGCCTGAACATGGATGTGTATGGCGTTTAGCGAATGAACATCATAACTTACATTGTATGTAGATTGTAAATTATTGAACGAGGTGGCCATAAATTACATAAGATATATTGCAGATTCAGTTCTTGGTATAATGAAAATAATTATATTCAGGTTATGCCATCAATATTGCATGGTATGTAATGAATTGTTTATACGTTTTTACAAATACGTTACCAATGCGTTCAGTGTCAGAGCTGTTAATTGTGCATAAAATATACTATAGGACATGCATATAAACACAATATACAATTACATTCGGTCGCGCCCTCTAATGACAGAGCGGTTTTGTGACGTCATAATGACGTATATCGGCGAAGTTTTTACTATCTTTCAAATCGACAGTTGCGTTTAGTTTCTAATCGCTCGTCGACTATAATATACAACATAATCTTCATTGATGGCGACCTCAGATCAAGACGAAACTGATGTTGTAAATGACCTTCCTCTCATCCATTCACGTCATAGAAGCGCCTTGACACTATAGGGCGCGATTTGTAGAACATGTTTATTGTGGCGGTTTACTACTCCTCAAGTGTTTTGTCTGGCAAACGATTTATAGTTCAGGAAAACAAACTCTGGTCATGTCACTATAATAGGTAGAAAAGTGTTATCAGTGAGTAATAGAAAACCGAATATTGTTTCTTGTGTTGAGTGGGAAATATTTGGGAAAAAAAAATTACACAACAAAAAAAGATAACTTGCGCGCTTAAACCCAGGGACATTGTTAATAATTGATATGCATATCTGCAGACTATTATTACTAAAAAGTGTTTGTTGACGTCATCACGTCTACACATTATTACATGATTTTCTATTGTTTCGCACTCGCAGGTGGTCCAACCTTCTCATATGGTATTGATTAGAAAGAAACAAAGGACGTGAGATAATGACTATCGTCAGAACAAACTGACACGCACTTACTTTATGTGTAAGTGGCTGTATGTATGTATTTCAGTGTGATCGTGATAATGTTGTATTGAAGCGCTCATTTGACGGCAGTTCTCTTTTTGAAGGACGTGGTGGCCCTGAGAAAGGCAGTTTTTGTTTGCGTGTGTTAGGGATGCGACGGGCAAGTTGGATATGTTTGGGCATGATGGTTACACGTTTGGCGTGAATGGCACACAGGTTGGTGTCTTCGAAAAGACCTACTAGGTATGCCTCGTTGGCTTCTTGTAGGGCCATCACGGCGGAGCTCTGGAATCGAAGGTCGGTCTTGAAAATATTGTGCAACTTTTCGAACCAGACGTTGGAATGACAGCTTACGGATCAAGAGCTCTCTATATACTATATTAGCCGGCACTTCACGCCAGTTTATTGGTCGTGATTGGTGAATGAATTGATATTGTGATTGGCCGGCAGATACTGGCCGTGATTGGTCGAATTAACGGATTCATTTTGGATGAGCGTAACCTTGCGCATAAACATTACATTGGAAAATCCCGCGCATTACATCTGACATCACACGCCCGCCAAATTAAACTTTTTATCTTTTTTTTTAAATATATAGTTTTATCTACATAAGAAGATTACAATACTTTTAATCAGACATAGTGTGAAGCTTTTATGCACACGTGATTACGTCATCGTCCAAATCATATGTATATATGTATGTATACAGCAAATTCTCTTCGAAAGATCACTAAAACCTAAATATATCGCATTCATTGCTTTAAAACATGCCTAGCCGCGGATAATGCCTTCTGCGTCTTTCTATCCACACAATATATATGGCTTTGAAAAATTATATTAAAGGGTCGTGCCGCGTCCTGTTCGATATGGTACTCATAGCGACGTATACAACGCGTGTAAAATACATTGTTAATTTACATGAAATTTGAACACGCGCTGAGCAACGACCACCGCGCTTTAAAGGGTCTTGTTGGAGAATATAAACCAAGACAAGTTTCAATCTGCTATCGTATTTTTATTTCACTAATTTCATGCCTCATGCAATTACATTACAATTAACGAGTCTATCACGCCGTCACTTGAACATAATGAATCTACAACGTCATAACCTCCACTTCACAGAAATGCAGCATTTGAGTCTTGTCCTGGAGTTGAACGCTGACATATCTTCCACGCATTGATTCGCCACAACCGCAATTCATGATGAGTGTTTCTTGTCTAGACCGTTTTCCCATTACCATCATACCGCACACTGGATTGTCTTCAAAGTTCTCACTATCACCAACGCGTACTTCTGCGTTCTTCAAACGGAATGCTGGAGAACAAACACAGTAGCAATGTTAACACTGAATCCCGATTTGTTTATGCAGGTCAAAACGTATTGCACCATAGACTATTTATTTGTGGGTAAAATGAGCTTTGATTCTAGACATTATGTTTCAGCAAGTGGGATATTCAGAGACATAAAAACAGCAATACTATGAGGTTATTACGAGGATACCTCAAAGTATGCACGAAGACAATACAGCGGGAATATCGATCAACGCGCA